AGCCCCACCAACACAACAACTAATAGGCAATGGTCCACAAAATGCTGTGCAACAGCTTGTCCAGCAATCAGCATTACAATCGCAACTAGGACCACAACATCAAGCATCACAGTATGCAGCACAGCAATCTGTTCAACATTTGGCAGCTCAACAGTCTGCTCAACATTTAGCTGTGCAACAATCTGCCCAACATTTAGCTGCACAGCAGTCAGCCCAGCTAGCTGCACAGCAATCTGCCCAGCATTTAGCCGCTCAACAGTCTGCTCAGCACCTGGCGGCGGCTCAACAATCTGCTCAACATCTAGCTGCAGCAGCTCAACAATCAGCACAACAGTTAGCTGTGGCTCAACAGTCGGCTCAACAAATGGCCGCTCAACAATCTGCTCAACAACAATTAGTTCCTACTGGGCAACAATTAGTGCACCAAACATCTTCTCAACAAATAACAATATCCAGCACTAGTCAACCAATGGCTCTTTCAAATTCCCAGACTCAGCCAATGACATTTCCAATCATATCTCAAAGTATTTTGCCCCATTGAGAATATAACTTACTCTTGGCATTATCTTTAGTCTAGAAGTGTGGAATTGTATAAGGATTTGTGACTAATATTATTATTAAATATAACATTAGCTTATACGACATTTTTACAATTCAAATGTATTGTTAAAAGCAAGATGAATTCTGTTATAGTAGTAAATGAAACAAAATTTAGATAATACAATTTGTTTATTTGTCGTGAATTGTTAAATGTTAAGGATCTGATGCACTCCATTATTGTAATAACCACTGGTATATGATCAACATATTAAACATATTACAGTATTAAATTATGGAATAGTGTATTGCAGTATTTGTTAAATATATAAATACTGGCTATGTATAAGTGGGCACTGAATTTTAACTCTTGTTTCCGTGTGTCATAAATCACTGCAGCAATAAAATAATTGTTATCTTAAGTAAAATGTTTTCTTGTAGATTGCATAAGAGTATGCACTGATTAGTACTATTGAAGTTGTGATTGTTTTGCCTGTTATCACATTAATGCCATCTAAAGCGCTGCTGGTAATGCTGTACCTTTAAATTAGGTAATTTATTTTTATTAATAAAATATTAAGGAATAAAAATGATTTTATTTATTTGATTTATATATTGTTGCAATTTTAGCAAGACATTTTTTAATAATTTCTTAAATAGCATTGATGCTTCTTATAATGCAATAATTTTCCAAGAAGACCAAGTACGAAATTACCATCCTTATCAAAAGCAATTGCAGACACCTTCTCTGGTATGTTATTAATTATTTTCATAAACCTTGTATCATTTTCATGAAAATATCTTAAATTACTGCTGGCTACAAAGACTCTTTCCTTATAAAATGATATCTGGGCCATTCCATCATATGTTACATTGCCAAGAACAATAGGCAATGATAATGTGGACTTTAATACAAAAAGTTTCTCATCTCTGATGAAATAAAAATTGTTTTTATTGTCTATAGCCATTTCGTCCAGTGCTTCGAGCGTTTTAAAGCGAATTTTACTTTCACCCACCAAGAGATATACTTCTTCAATTCCATCAACATTTTTCGTGACATATTTATTCCCATCTTTATCAATAGAGATCATGTTAAATTTTGCTGTTGGCTTTGACATCAATATAGCCTTTTGTGTTTCGTAATCATAAGAAAATATGCCATCGTCTGTACTGAAATACACTTTTTTATTATTTTTGTCGATTGCGATGGAGTAGCTAACGCCGTCGGGAAGACCTAATAAAAAAAAACATGCGATATTACTTTTTAATTGCTCAAAAACTTTGCGATAGAAAAATTGTATGAAAATTCCACGAGTGTGGCCGCATTACGTTGACGGAATGTAATAACAATCAAGCATTGTTAGACTTTTATAAAAACAATGTTTGTAACTTTTTATTGGGTATTTCATAATAAAACAATGTATGCATCTTATTTAAACATATCGTAATTTGACCTAACCTAGCTTAGTGTGAATTCTTAGTTAAGTTGAATTATTACTTGAACCATTTCTAGAAGAAAAATGGATAGCAATGAGAAATAGAGTCGACTCCAGAATTGATGATTTGGAAATACCATTTTTCAAATTTATGGGCAGGTAAGATAAGTCTATAGGTAGTGGGTCCCTCAACAAAAGATTACGCACTTGATCGACTATGGAACAAATGCGTTCTTCGAAGTCGAAAATCAGTGATTTTCTTATAAAAAAAAACTGAACGAGGCTTGTGGGTAAAAGCTTAGTTGGATGGATGGATGTTTTAGAAGGTATTTTCGAAACGACTCAACGGATCTCGACAAAAGTCACAGATGTAGAACATAGTTTGGAAGAATACATAGACCACTTACTAAGTTTTTTTTTTAAGAAAGTTAGTCTATAATAAAGGTATCTTACCAGGAATATTTTGAGGCGTGGTCGAGTTCAATGGTATTATTCTTGCGTTAAAGTAATATCCATTGAAATTGTTGCCGGTTTCGATGTAAAATATGTTTCCTTTGTCATCAAAATGGGCGTCAGTCGGATACCCACCATCGGTGTGGTAAGTTTTCGAAACATTATACTTGTCATTGTCTATGGTCAAGTCAGATTTGCAACTTGTTGCGGGCACATCAAAGCATAAACAGGTTTTTGTCAACAGTATTAATATGAAAAACTTCATTTTATGCAGACTTGTTAGCTCTTTAAGACTTTGATTACAAATAATTGTAGAAATACATTGCAGAAAAACTTAATGATGGTCTATTATTTTTAATAGGATGCTATTGTCCTGCCGTGAACTGTGAGATAAGCCAACAATTGCATTGCAATAAAATTGATGTTCCTTACAATGTATTTACATAAATAAAACTATTTATTTACACAATTAGTTTTATATTTATCAGTCATTTTGTGCTTAATCTATAAATTAATGTGATAATATTCTGCAAGTGCATTAACACTTAAATTGTTTACTGTAGCCATGTACTAATTATTTATTTCATTTGTGTCATAATAGTGTTACCATATTCTTTATTCTTGTTGCATTGTAAATATGCAGGTAATCGTCCCTGTTTACCTCCTTTTATTTTATGTATTTTCCATCTGTGTCCTTGCAAAATTTTTCTGTAATGAAAATTAGTAAGAATTATGAATGTAGGTACTTTAGAACACTTTTAGTCCGGTTTTTTATTACTACCCTAAACATAGCTTACACAAGGTGTGAAAATATGAGACAGGGAGAGAAGAGAGAGAGAGAGAAATATATAATATGTGCAAAGAAAATTGTCTAGCCAAGTATATAAAAATCCAGGCCTGAGGGTGCTCCAATTGCCTCATTCATTACACCACTTTCTAATGTACAGAAACATACTAAAACAATTATTGCCCAATGTTAGTTACAATAGGTGTATGGTGTAATTACGAAAACTTACTTTGTGTTAAATTTCTTGAAACATACATCACATTCGACCCTGCCCTGTCTTAAATGTATGTCTCTGAGGTGCCTCTTCATGTCATGTTGGTAAGAGAAGGCTTTGTCACAATAACTGCACTGAAAAACAATTGCACAGTTAACAATTTACTTGGATATCGACAAAATTAAAACATGTAACATGGAACATATAAAAGGCTTTACTAGCTTGGTATTGCTTCTTTGAAAGTTTTTCTTAAAAGTTCTAAGTGTAAAAAGCTGTTGTTGATAACAGGGTTGTCATAAAACAATTATTCGAAACAATGGTTTTTTCCTATTCGGGCAATTTTTACTTCCATCCGAGTTATGTGAAATATGAGTACTAGAGCTCAGTAACGAAATAATACATGTGGAGATAAAGATCCATTATATCTATAGTTAGTAATAGCACTATGGGTGTTACGGTTTCCGCAACTCTATGGCTAGCGCGTATTTCGCGTGTATGGGTTAATCAGTGTTTAGCTATAATGAAGTACCTTAATTAAAAAAAGCCTGACTACAAATGTAATATTTCATCAAAGAAAATTAAGATTTATAACAGAAAAAAAGTATTGGCGAGTGAGATTCAAACAAGGTTTTCACTGCTTTTTTAGAATTTGACTTTTTATGTCTCTTGTAGGTTTTTTGTGCTGATAGACCGTTAGATATTGATGGAATTTACATACAGACAAAAGCAATATACATTAAAAAAACATCCTTACGCAAAATAAATATTACAAATTATATCAGTTTGATCACATACCTTATAAGGCCTACAGGTACTGTGAACATGGCGCATGTGTTTAGCTAAATTACTTGTAGTGGTCGCTGTTTTGGGACACAGAGTACATTTGAATGGTTTATCTGCTAAATGAGACCTTTTGTGTACCTTCAACAAGTCTAACGTCCGACCCCGATATGAACATGTGTCACATTTATACGGAAACACATCTTCATGGATAACCCTGGAAAAATAATTTTATATTTTTTACCTTCGTAAAACAGCTGTTATTTGTTTTTTAATATTACCTACCTATGTACATTAAGACTTCCTTTGGATTTAGCTGTTTTACCACAAATATCACATAAAAAACTCTTCTTTTTAATTATACCATTTTCTCTTGGATCATCAGTCACTTGGCTTGTACATTTATTTAAATGGTTATTGTATGAAGTCTGTGAAAAATATTTTAAAACCAGTAAATTAGAAATGTTTTAAATATAATTAGAATTTGTAATTAAAAAGGAAATGACTTACCATATCATGAAACTTTTTACTACATGTTGAACAGTCCCAAATATCTGAATTGTCTATGTACATTGGAGGTGATGGCATGTCATATGAATTTTCACAATCCAATAAATTATTAGTTTCAATTTTATAACAAGGACATTCTGTAACAGATATATTTATATGACATAAATTTTGTTTAGTTATATAACAATACTTAGTAGTGATAAATAACGGATAGAAAATTAAGTTTGTTTAATACTAAAAATCATTTTTTAGAAGTAATTTTAAGTATTTCATTTATTGCAATTTAGTTCAACATATGGGTGCCAGGCTATAAAAATTAAACCAAAACTTTATGATCTATAGAACTTGGGTTTAATTCAAATTTAATAAGGCTAGATAAATGATGATACTAACAAAGATATTTTTAGTGGCAATAATTTAATATCGCCTGCTTACCTTCCTTAATTGAATGTTCTAATTGTAACTTATTACTGTTTTGACACATATCACGGAATTTTATACATCCATTTAGCAGATCCATACATCCTTGGCACATGTACTTTGGTAAATTATCATTGCGGTTTATCTAAAAATAGGTTGTAATCTATCTATAGTTACTAAAAATAGATTATTTATTTATTAAACAATATTGAATCATTAAAAACATACAAATAGGTAGTTGTGATCATACAATATAATTAGTGTGTGTTTAACATTGTTTGAAAATTGCCTAAAGTTATTTAGTATTACAAATCAGTTAATGGGAGACTCTAAAAAGCTCTTATACTTACTGTTACACCAGAGAAGTGTTTAATTTCTTCAGCAATATGTGGATGAGCTTCATTATTAAATAAAGGAATATGTCCTTTCTGCTGATTGCATATTCTACATCTTTTAAATTTACTTTCTGACTTGACACTGTGGGTAAAAGAATAAGTAAACATTAAAAATGAACCTGAGAAATAATCCTTTACCATGGATTTGATTTTTTTACTCTACAACATTGTTTAGGAAACAAATAAAATTAGCTAAATGATCAAGGAACTTACATTTTCTTTTTTTTTACTGTTTTTTTCTTTCTACTTCTATTCATATAACTTGCTAATAGTATTGACTTTAAAATTAGTAGAGACGTCATTTGATGTAACGGTTACAATTTGTAGTGCGTCTAGTTATATATTACAGTCAAATTTTTATCTTCTGTAATACAAAAAACATTAATATTTTTGTATTTTTTTCAAATATTTTCAATCTTACGAAAAGTTTTATTTGACATTGACAATTAATTGACAATGACAAATTGCTTCCAAATTCAAAGGCTATGCTTCTTAAAGAATCTTTAATCACGAAGACAACTCTGGTTATAGTTCATCGTTACGGGGAATATAACACCTAGGTTTTATAGATTAGTTAGCTATCAATCTAAAACGATTTAATGACTAAAATCAACAAAGGCTACCACAACTATAAAAAAGTACAAAAGGGCCGATTTCAAAGTGGTTCCGTGGTTGCCATAGTATTTTTCTTTTCCTTATTTGTTATTTCTCATCTATGTTGTCATAGACAAAAGGAAAACGAGTTGATTCTGATATGGTAAACATTTCAGTGATTTCAATTTTCAATAACGAAAATGAATGTATTTATTAAGCTATTTAATCGTTTAAGACCTAATATTAATTATGAATATTAATGTAAAAAAATAAAATCTAAACCCACCTTTACCGGGTTTCTTAATTACTAATAGGTGTCAGTTTTAACAATTTGTAAAATTAATACAAAACAATGTCAGTTTACTTAACTAAATCAATGTTATCGAAGTTAAATAAGGTGAAATATTCAATTTGTGACTATAACGACGATGAGGATTGCGGCAGTAACGATCCTTGGCAAAAGCTTTCTATCGATGGGTATGAAGTTTATTATAATATTACATATTATTTACATTACTAGCATTGCTCGGTATATTTGAACAGAAGGATATACTCGAAATGCTTCACGAGTTTTAAAACAAACATAAAAATTCATTAAAATGATACTTATTGGATTTCAGAAAAGCGACAGTACAACTAGCAAAGGATACAATATGTAGGGTTTGTGCACAGAGAGGATCAATTCCGTTGAGCAATAAACTAGATGGTTATGATATAATGGGAGCTCTCTGCAGTATAACTAATGTTTCAGTGGGTATAATTAAGTTATTTATTTCTATTAGACAATATTTTTAAAGTGAATAGAGACAGGTTTAATATAATCTTGTCAGGGTATCTCCTAATAGCAAATTATTTTTTTGATGTAAATTCCATTTCATAATACAATAATTTCTTTGCCTTTTACAGATCAGTCCTGATGATTCCTTACCAAAGTACATATGTAATGAATGTCTTGAAACATTAAAAGTAACTATGGCATTCAAGAATACATGTGAAACAACTGATAAAAGATTTAGAAAAATTCTAAATCCATTAGGTAAAAAATAAACATTAAAAAACCAATTAATTTATATTACATGCTCAATTAATTTTATAAAGATACTCTTTGAGGTTCTTACCGCATTATATTGTCATCATCAGTTTGCCCTTGTTCTTAAGGAGTGTTGGTACAGCATTTGCTGCTCTTCCATACATCTCTATCAGCCATCTTATCTGAATACACTCTCTCTTAAGCATATCCTCTTTCACACAATCTATCTATACATTTTTTGGTCTTCCTGTACCTTTTTATTATAATGTATAATATTTTTACTATTAAATATCTAATATTTTATTTTTATTATTACAGGAGATCCATTATTCCATTCATATCCATATTCTAAACATGATTTTCAACTAATTTTACATCAAATGAAACTGAAGAGGGTAAAGATGGAACAGAAAAGGGAGAGAGAGAGAAAAAGAAAAGAAAGAGTGCAACAGAAGAAAATACATTCTAAAGTGAAAGAGATTAAGTGCTCCCCTTGTGATATGGTGTTTGAAACTAAAGTAAGAAATGTAGCTTTTTAATTTTCAGTGGAAAAAAACTTTAACTACAAGAATTACCAAAGACAAAAAACCAGACTGTCACAAAGATACTCATTATGAACCAGAATGAAAATATTTGATTGGTATATTACAATAGTAGTAGATTATGTATATTTGACTACATAACAGCAGACATAAATTGAATTCAATATAGTAAATTAAAATTATTTCAATTTATTGTATACAGCTGGACAAGACACTTGCATCATGTAATGTCATCAAAAATTAATTATCAAATAGCTTTTGAATAAAAAATTTTGTTGCTAACAATGACTTGTACTGGAAATAAATTTACGATTTTATAGAACAAAAAGATAAACAATTTTCACATAGTTTATTGATTTGAAATGTTGAAAGCGACATTTGGCCAATGTTGAAAAGTTTTTTCTTTACTAGTGCTATGGCCCAGTGAGGATCTTTTTCCATACAAACACGTTTTTTCATATACTTACTGCGTTGGCGTAGCAACCCAAAGTGGTATTTTTCATGATCATATCTGGGTATAAATATTAATTGTCAACACTGTATATAGGAGCAATTGGCATGTCACCGTCGCGAGGCGCAGTGCATGCGGCGCGCGTGCGACGTGTGCGGCCAGCTGGTGCTCAGCATCGGCCAGCACATGCGCCACATACACAAGCGCGCGGCCCCGCACACCTGCCCCACCTGCGGCAAGGACTTCCCCATCGTAGCACGCCTCAAGAGTCATATGTAAGTCTCGTTAAGTTCACAACACGCTAACCTACCTAACAATAAATATCGTAATTTTACTTCTTAGTAATACTATAAAGTTTAGATGGATGGATGGATGTTTGTTAAAGTTTGTAGGTTAAATGGCTGAAGGGACCTTGATGAAATTTGGTATAGATGTAGAGGATAGTCTGGAAAGACACAAAGGCTACCGGCTTTTGTTTTTTTTTATTCCGCGCGGATGGAGTCGCGGGCGGAAACTAATATATTATAAATGCTAGAGTTTAGAGGGATGTTAGTTATAGTTTGTGGTCTAAGTTGCTGAATGAATCTCAATTAAATTTATCATAGATGTAGAGGATAGTCTGAAAGTACAAACTTGTAATCAATAAATAGTTGTTATTAAAAGAATCAAGTATAAATTACGTTTTTCCATCCATCCATTCAACTAAACTTTCTCATAGTAACATCAGTAAGATAAATGCTAAAACTTTAAAATCTTTTGTGCATACAAATTTTAGTTTTAATATTTCCTTATTGTAGTTAAGAATAGTATATGTTGAATGATATAAACGAGTATGTGTTACTAGTACATCTATACTATTATAATAAAGCGTAAACACACACTTCTTTGTTGTCTAAGATGTCAGCAATAAAAACTTAGGGTGTAAATATTTTGGATAAAAACCCTAATGTGGGAAAGAGACCAAGTTGCTGCCAACATCAAGAAAGCAAGATTGCCAAGATTTGTCATGTCATTTATTTATTTATTTATTTATTTAAATTAGGCTTATCAACATAATTACATGACATTCATTGATTTCTATGTAGTAATCCAAACACACAT